TAAAGATAAATAGGAAGATATTTAACATAATAAAGACAATAAAAATAACAAAAAAGATACTTATTCTTTATACAATAGTATGGCATGTCACATATAAACATCAAGAAACAATAGTCAAGATATAAGATATAAGAGCACCTACACATTCTAAAATAGGAATTAATAATTAGTAACAGGAAACAAAAGAGAGAAGAGTTCTATTTTTTTTTCAATGCTTCCTTAATCTCGGTTACAAGTTTAAAATAAATATATCACTTATGAATATAAGCATATGTTTTTTTTTTCAGGAAATCATAACCCTTATTACATCATCGCTTTACTCATCTGACATTAACCACGTTTAGCACTTCATTAGTTATATTCGACTTATCTTAAAGTTTTCATATTTGTATTAATTCTACAAACTAAGATTCATGTCATAAAAGATTTTACTTTGTATTTAATAAAATGATTTTCAATTAATTAATTAATGCCTGGCAGTCCTTAACCCTCCATTGCTTAAAGTTGACGTATTAATTGACGTAAATTATATTTTATTAAATGCAAAATATAATGTTTTATGACATGAATTGCAGTTTATAGTTTGGACTGTTAAGGAGAGATAAAATTTAATAAGGTAAAAAATGTGAAAACTTGACGTTAGTTTGATAATAAGCCAATTGGGCTCAAAATGTTTTTAATGTCAGATGAATAAAGGAATGAGGTTATAAGGATGATTATTTCCTGTATTTTTTTATATAATATTATCAGTAATTGCCCTTGAAAAATATTACTGTGATAGTAACTAAAAATGTATTGTAAATATCCCTACTGTTAGTGAAAAAGCTTGTATGATAAAATCGACTGTTTTATAGGAGAACATTAAATACTGATTATTTCTTCATGATTTTTAGAAAACTTCGTATTTTATTTCCTTCTGCTATTCTCCATTATAGCAGTCTAATTATAGCATATGCAAACTACAAAATGTCACTTTTAACACAAATATAATAAAAATGGAAAACTTTTTTCTCTAACAGTAGCGATATTGGTTCTTGAATATTATGCATAGTTCGGAATATTAATGATAATGCTATAATTTTTAAGATTAACCTGATTTACAAAAAAATATTCCGTCTTCCTGCGGTTTATATTTGTATTTTTCTTGTAGGTTTAGTACTTATGATGTTAATCCATACATATCTTGAGCGTATTAAACAGTATTTGATTTCTGTGTGCTAAGGGATTTGTATAAATGCAGTGTGGGTTAATGTGAAAGAAAACATCATGAATTCATCTATTTCAACTAAGATTTAGATTTTAATAGTAGAATTACATACACAGTTGAGGATTTTCAATTAGACAGCAAGTTTTTTGGAGAAGAAACATATATCTATATTTTTTGTAATAATCATTTTTTGCAAACAAATTTAAGTTCGTGATTTTAAAACGGTGACAGTTTGATTTTCGATCCCATGCTCATAAAATCTTTTTTATTTCACATGAATTTCTCTATAATTATCCGTTAATTTTTTCCCTGAAAATATTTATTCCTTCCCGCTTGACTTCATTTGTTGGTTCGTATCTCTCGATTTGTTTAACGTATTTAATACATTTAAATTTAAAAAGTGTTCACTAAATACTTTATTCGAACCTTTGTATTTTAAATTAATATATTTCCTATATAAGTACATGATAAGGTCTGATGTCCTTATTAAATGGCAGTACCAATAACCTAAACCGGTATCTTAATATCGTAAACATGATGCCTTGCTATAATATAAAAACTCATACAAAATCAATAAGTAAGCGGGTTCATATTACAATTGGAGACGACATATTCAGAAGCTCTGCAATTACTCATTGTTCAATAAATGTGTATACAATATAAGTATACGATTTGGCTGAAATTGTTCAAATAAATTATTTAAATTTAGTTCATTGTTATCCGTATAAGAATTTTCCGAATATTTTAGTACAATGTGGAGAGCAACATCTCTTTTACATGCTGAAATTATTCAAAATTAATTCGGCAAATATATATAAATTTATTAACACGATTTGCGCTTTATCGTAAAATCCTTGAAAATCTGTAATTAACATCATTATTCAAAAAATATTCAATAGCTATTAATTTTAAATTTGTTATGGCTGTACGTGTCAGCCCCGTGTATGGAATAATAAAAGAGATGAAAAATGAATAAAGGTCAAAATAAATATTCTTCATGCGCTCCCAACTTTATAACTGCCGTTTGATAAACTCCCTGCTTTATCTATATAGATAATTTTATATATATATAAAAGGCCCCGCTCCTGCAGTTTTTGTTTGGGCATTTGCTGATTTAGTTTTTGGAAGTACTTTTATTTTCTCTTTTTAGAATGAAAAGAAATTAATAAACAACTGATAAATTTACTCACATATTGACATTGATTGATTTCATAAATCTAATCTTATATAGGCAGTCAATTTCTGAAGTCCAGAATATCATAATCACCAGTAATCGTATTTATATATTCGTATAAAACTCATTTATTTATTGAGTTAATTTGTTAATAACGTAGTGAATTTGGTAGAGATACGTGTTCAATTTATTTGTTCTATACATTAGAGACTAAAGCATTAAATTGAAACAAATAGTTATTTATAATTTGGAACAAAAACATTGAATGTAAAACATTATATGAGTGTTTCATTTAACAGAATTACTAACTCCAATTTCAATATTTTTATTACTAATTTTAGTGGTCAATAATTAAGGGTATAAAATGCAATGATAAAACCAGTTTTAATATATGGCTGTAAGACCTAAACACTGGCCAGTATCCTATAAAAAATTATTGTAAGATTTAAGAGGAAAATTCCCCGCACAATAACCAGAGGTATCTGTGATCAGAGTACTAACACGTGAAGAAGAAAGACCAATAAAGAACTACATACTAAAACTGGTCAATCAGTATCTCACGATATGAAGGCTCGGAGATAAGGATAGGTGGGGCATCTAGCTCGAAGGAATCGATATGGAAGCCTCTACGTTACAATGAATGCCTCGATAAAAGGCAAAACACCAAGTGGAAGACCTAAATCAGACGGATAGATAGAATTAACAAATATGGAATAGAGTTACGTGCTGATAACTGGAAAGAAATAGCTCAAGATAGGCTTGTTAAGGTAGCAAAAGATCTACATGTTCTGCAATGCCACCAGAAAAAAAAAATTAATGATATTTCTAGTGAACAATTTATACATTTATTCATAGTTCTATATTTTAAAATTCTATTCACCTACGATAGAATCAACTTACACACACTCTGTACATATATTATAAATTTTCCAGGTAGAAATATTACTAAAATGACTTTACACAAAAAAGTTGAAATTTGAGTTGTCATTCTGTCAAATGAATGGCTCATATTAAGACTAATTTTTTATTTGATATTTTGAATTATCTTTTTGAGCGAAACAACGTAGGTATTCATTGCTTTATTACTGGAACATTTGATTTCTTTGTTCAGTGAAATGTTTTAGTAACCATTTTATTTGATTTGTCTCTGTGGGCACTACAGACTTGTTTCCTGCAAGCAGATTTAAAAATAAATAATGGTTACAAAAATACTTTACTGAACAACTGAATCAAACGTTCCAGTAATGAAGTTCATTATTATCAACTATCATCAACCGTGTCTCAGAAAGATATCTTAAAATATTAAAGACAAAATTTGTCTAGCCGACGCGTGTGCAAAACAAGCGTTAAACCACTAGGCCACCTTCACCTTCAGCATCTTTGTTGATAATATCGTTTTCGGCTACCAATTGGTCTCTTGATAATTAATTTATTATTATTTAAAAGCGCCCTTATGGACTGCTCCGTGCTACACGTCCCTCTTGGCCATCTTGATCTTCTTGCCTTCATATCAAGAGATTTTTATTGACCAGTTTCTGTAAACAGTTTTTATTAGTCTTTCTTCCCCAACCGTTTGTACTCTGATCCCAGATTACTTCCGTGATTTTCATCTAAAATCTTTTAAGGATGTTCGTTACCGTCCAGGTCCCGCAATCATATATCACAAATGGTTTCATCTTAGCATTGTATACTCTCAATTTCTAAAGATTTCTAGAGATTTTCCAGGATTTAATTGGCTTTTAAAGAGAGAAGGAAGCTAGTTATACACTGGTATATTTCTGATCATAGTCGTTTATTCGGAACGATTTCTCTTCTAAGCAGATCCTGTTGTTGGAATAGATTTCCCCGCTCATTATGATAAAACGATTTTTCTATTTTTTTTTTTTTTTATTGTTCTTCCTTACTTCGGCTTATAGACTATACAGGATTTTCCCGGGCAGGGAGAGAAGAACAGAGAATTTAAAATTCCCTCCGACACTTTAATCTCATAACTTCGGTTATCTGGTTGTCGGGAACTCACGGAGCTGCGCACACGCGTTGGCCCATTCGACCACCCCGCCCCCCGAATAAAGTGATAATGAACTGTTTCTTGCTCGACGAACAACTATTGCACAAGGAAGGAATTGATTTGGTCGAAATCATGCTCAATCGCCAATTTTTCTCCCTCAATTAATTGATTGATCTTTTCAGTTGACAGAATGATATTTCTAGTTGGAGAATTTTTAATATTTTTACAGACAGTAAATAAATTGATTCGAAAGTAGGTGTTTACAGTCTTGAAATATATAACTGTGAATAAATGCATAAACTTTACCACAAGAAATATCACTAAAATTAATAATAAAAATAATGAATTTGGAGTTAGTCATTCTGTCAACTGAAAGGTTCAATTAATAAAGAGTAGCCAAATTATAGAGGCTTAGTGTGCCCCTAGAGTTAAACCAGGACTGATGAAACAATCCTCGTACTCAAACCCGAGATATTGAGTTTTGGAAGTCCGTACCGTACCCACTGAGCTACTCTGCTCGCATATATATATATTCAAATACCCGTCCAAATAGTTGAATATGAGTTTGATTTTTTTCTTTTGAAAAATATCTATTTATTGAATTAAAATATTGTAAATATTAAAGAATTTTAATTACATTATCAAGGGCAAAAATTATTTACAGATCTTTAGGACTGAGAGTGTGATGGAATACAAATCATTTCATCGACTTATTAGATATTAAAAAGCTCCTCGAGTTCAGTAGTAGACACTCGCAGCCCGTTGTCTATTCATGTATATCCTTACGAAGACGTAGAAGAACGTGCTAAGTATGAGGAGGGTGCCGAAGATGATGAGGTGGTGGTTGACGGGTACCTTCCTCTCATCCACGACCAGCAGCCGAACTACCCCCGCCAGGGAGTCGCCCTGCCAGCAACTGTACAGCTTCTCATCGTCCGGCTGGATCGAATTAAACACCAGCTGCTGCTTAGCGTTCACTGTCACTCGTCCTGTAATGTTTAAGTAAAGAATGTATCATAAGTGACACAAGAATAAGAAGTTCTTGGGGTACTTTTTATTATTGTAACAGTGGATAATAAAGCACTTAAAAAATTTGTAATCTCTTTGACCAGTCAATGGAGTTTCTTACAGTAGGCTGAAAATGAAGAGAACTTACCCAATGACTTGGACTTTGCAATCCAGGGAGCTAACTTTGCCTTCCTGCCGATACCCCAGCGGTAGGGAAGGTCGCAGAGGTTGTGTCCAGGACATGAAAGAGAGAGCGGACTACCCAGCTGCGCGTAGACTGTCAATCGGCCTGGTAGTGGTGGCAGTGGGGGTGGACCCTGTTGGGTTGAGAACAGACCTGCAGAGCAAACATAGGACAGAAAATAGAAAATAAAGGGATACTGTTTTAAAAATTGAAAGAATAATTGTAAATTAAATGTTATGACCATTTACAAAAAATGCCGAAGGAGCTATAGCCAAAATTAATCTTATTACATCAACCAACAGGAAGGTAAAAAAGAAGATAACCTAGGAGGAATTGGTTAAAGGATGTAGATAAAAGCATGGACGCCTGAAATCTTCATGAAGTAGATTGACAAGAAGCTGTTAGGACTTTTAAATAAAATACTGTAATAAAAAAAAATAGTGGTAATTTATATTTTAATAAATAATAGCATATGCAATGATTAATCGATTATTTTTGCTTCATTTGAATATATAGCTTGGATTTGTGGTCATCTATCTTACAATTTGTGTTAACTTTATTTCAAATAACATATATTTTAACTTTTCTGCAATTAACAATCTTCAGCAGCCACTACTTTTTTTTTTTTTTTTTTAATAAATCATATTCATTATTTACTAAAATTTTCTTGATTTTGTTATATTTATTTGCCCAAAGACATTTATTTGCCACATTTTAAAACCATGACTAAAAAAAAATGAAATAATATTATCATTAGTCGCCTTGCCAAATATAAAAAAAAAAAGTAAAAGAATAATTTAGATTGAATACAACATTTTTTAAAACTATGAAGAATAGTTTGTGTTATTTTTTGAAGACAAAAACTTTCTCTTTTGTAAAGTAATGCATAAAGTATTCTGCGATACTGAAGTACAACTAATGACGAAGGAATTTTAACTTGTAAAAAGTTGTACAGCCTTAACATTTTTTTTATTATTATTTTTACTTTTAAAAAATTTAAAATAAATATACTTATTTATTTTTACTTTTTTTTTTTTTTAATCATCTCCCCAACCATTCTTTTCTTCAATCATCTATTGCAATTAACCATTAATCCGCAATTCATTTATAATAAACGTATAAGCGAAAATTGTAAACTGAAAAAAAAAAAATTATTGCACATGAAACTTTCTGTAAGGTTATGCGTCATATATTTTCAAATCATTACTAATACTTTTTTAATGACATTAGATTAATAACATTAATGATTTTTATAAGTCAAAATTTTTTTAAGTAGTTTTTAGGTTTTTTTAGTTATCGTATGTTGTATCAATGTTGAAATACATTATTGCTATTGTGGTCTCACCGAAAATGTTGTTTTTTTTCTGTGCTTGTTTCTTGGAAAAAAAAAAAGGGCGAACAAAGAATTTATATTGAAACCACAATTTCCTATTTTATTAGTCACCAAAAAACAAAAAACAAACCAATTCTGCACTAAGTTCATTGGTTATATGAATTCTCGTATATTGTAAGTCGTTAAACAAAAAAAAAAATTAATCAAACCAAAAGAAAAAAAAAAAAAGAAATAGTAATATATAGGTGCGTTTGAATATATATTAGAAAAAAGTTTTGATCATGTTTGATTGTAATTTAAATATGAAATTATCCAAAATTAAGCCAATTGATGATTGTTGCTTGTTTTAGATTAGGAAAAATTGTGTCAGCACCTAACAAAGTCGAGTAAATTTGTATTTCAGAATAAATTTCCATTCATTTTTTATTCAAACTTTATTTAAAGTATATTTTCGTATTTTTAATAATCTATATATCATCTTAAAAATCAAATATTTCATTGATTGTACCCATTTTTCTTTAATTAGGCCGATGGCGTATTATTTTATTACACACACACACACATATATATATATATATATATATATATATATATATATATATATATATGATAAATATAAAGATGATTATACTACACAGGATAGTAAAATAGTTTCTCTGCAAAAAAAAATCCGTATTTTTAGATTATAGGGACTAGTTAAAGAGACGGAATCAACTTAGCCTCACTTTGGTAAAATTTAACAAGGGCGGGAGGGATGAGGTAAGTTAAATAATATTAGAAGGAAATTTGGTTAGGGCAGGTCGTTAAAAATAATTGCGAAGGGGTCCAGATCGAGACTTAAACTTATTTACCGCGCAATAATTTATTCGGTGCTCATCCGGAATTATTGCCGGAGGATTGAAATTCAAATGAGCGCCGGCGGGAACAATCACCCGGGCGCGGGAACAATGCCCGCCTCGAGACTATCATCTCCCGCGCGCGGGAACAAAAGTAGGCCCGCATTAAATCGGCACCGGTTTCTTTAGGCAGATTCAGAGCGGGCAGGGTTTTCCACGATGGGGGCATTATCTTCTCCCGTGAACATTCTTTTTGGAGGGAGAACTTCGATGACGTTCATCCTTCGAGGGAAATGGAAGTGTGTTTTTATGTAAATGTAAAAAATATATGATTAAGATGGTTCATTATTGAAAATAATAAACCGAATATATGTTTTCTTAATGAATTATGATCTCCGACCCTAGCTCTATGTAAATAAAATGCTGTTGGTCTTATCGAAAAAACCGAAGTAGTTTTTTCTTTCTTTCTTTAAAAATATTCTGTAAAATATGAATTATTTAAAGACCCTTTGATCCAGGACACGAGGCTGTAAATTCTGCATTAGCTCCAAGGAGGGACCGAATAAGATAACTCCCCGTTTTTCCCTCCTTTACCCCTCTCGTGTAAGCACTCACAAAATTGTTTACATAGAGATGTCTCGCCATAACCACAGTTCAATATAAAAAAGAAACACTCAGCAATTTTCCATTTCCCCACCTAAGCAAACTTTTCATAGCGTCACGCTTTGATTCCGATTGGAATGGATCGATGGAACTGGCGATTCCACTTATGAAATGATTCTCCTTGCGAAATTGAATTCAAATAATGTACTATATTTTTATACTTAATATTTTTTCCGTCAAAATAATTATAATTTAACCATACTAATCATAAACAATCGTATTATGTAGTTTTTAATAGAAAATAAATTATAAATAAGTGGAATTTTAATTTATTTCCAATACTTTATTAATATTTATTTTCCCCTCCGGAGCTCAACAATAAATCGTTGAAAATAATTAATCAGCTATAATAGTCTAGATGCTTTCATACTCCTTTTCATATTCATCAGACCAATCGTGGAAGTCGGTTAAGAAATAAACAGCTAACAACGAGCACTAAATGGGTTTTTAGACTAAAGACGTCGTATAAGGTAGCTGAAAGAGTTTAAAACTATGATACACGCTTGATTCGAAAATTTTTGGTACTGGGATTGAAAATAATCGATTTGTTATTGATAATTGGACATGAGATATGTGATAGACATGAGGGTTTTAGGTGATAGTCGAAAATAAAACCTTAATGGTTTTTCCTAATTGTTGAGGATTGTTTAAGAAAATTGGTCGGTCGTTAGAAAGGAGAGGTACAGTGGAAAACCAAAAGTATTGGCTAGTCGTGATGGGTTGGCCGGCCCCCTTAATCACTCTCTCTCTCTCCCTCTCTCTCTATATATATATGTATATATATATGTATATATATATATATATATATATATATATATTATATATATATATATATATATATATATATATATTATATATATATATATATATATATATATATTCACCTTTATTTGTATATATTTCACAGCACTTACTATAATAGACCTTGTGCCAAGATCTGAAAAAGCAGTCATTGGAAAAAGTTTGCATATAAATTACGAAAGTTATTTTAAGTTAAATGAACCCAGCCTGCAATTTCAGAGCCGCTGATTTAAAATTGGCGGTTTTTAAAAAGTATTTTACTTCAGTTACGTGAGGATCGAAACGAGAAATATATTGCTTGAACAGTGGAAATAGTTTTAAATTTTTTATGTATGATTACAAACCAATACTTAAAGCCATAATATCGTTTTACAAAAAATAAGACATATTACTATAAATGGTTCTTCTGTAAATTGAATTCTTTAAGGGAAAAATCTAATAGAACAAACATTTACTGAGTACCAACATTTTTAATGTAGATGAATTACTATATTATCCGATGGCCTGGCAAAATAGTTATGGAGGTACGTGCGATTTTCAATAGTACAAAACTGTAGATGTTTATTTTCCTGAGATATTCTTGTTTAAAGCCACATATATGTAGAATAGATATATTTTTCGCCTCTCTGTTTTGATGAATTTTGAGAAACGAGATTTACAAAACAAATCGATTTTTAAAAATATGTGACGAACCCCAATTCGAGATTTGTAATTGACCTGCGTTAAAAATATTGATGCTCATCCTTATCTTCGGTAACAGTTAATTTTGTCGAGCGTATGCTAAGGCTGCATTTTGTTAATAGTTCTAGAGAATTAAACACAGTTTCAAAACATTCACGGATTTAAGGTTCAATGGGTTCCAGGTCATGTTGGTATTAGGATGAACGAGCTGATATGACAGCAAAACGGTGTTCTGGAAGAGCAAAAACTGCAAAACTTATGAGAAATTTATAGATGGGTTAAAAAACACTTTATTAGTGAATGCCAGGATTGATGGGCCTCGGAGTCAAGTTCGAAAGGTAAAGATTATTTTACCATCCAACCTAATGTCTCTTTACGCCCATGGTTTCCCAACACTTGTGAAGTGTGAACAGAAAAGATATATACAAGATTAAGAATTAACCATGTTCGTACAAATCGCGGCTTGATAGTAATTAAACTTGAAAAAAAAAAGGTAAATGTTCTACATGCAATTCCATCGAGGCCCATTATAGTAAAATTCCACAAATATGATAAATACCGGAATAAATATCACCTGATTCAAAAAATGTAAAAATCATGAAAATATCGCTTTCATTTATGGGCTGACAGATTTAGTTAGGGATACCATTCTACCAAAATTATGGAAGAATCTAAAATGTATTTTAAAAATAAATAATAAAATAAATAAATAATAATAATAATTTACATCAATATCTCTATTATTTTATAATATAACAATAGGGGCAGTATAGGACGTCAATGGACGTCTTGGGCCGACGAATGAAAAACAACCACGGCATTTCTCTGGATTTGAGGTGCAATACTTAAAAATACGTCGGAGCTAATCAATCTAAAAATTGTACTCTTTCGAACAGATAGATGTGAATCATTTACAATTTACCAGTATTTTAAGTTAAAATCCTTATAAACCACCGATAGGATAGTTTGAGTCATTGAAATTCCGTCCACAAGAAAATGTTTACTGAATTAAAAACTTGATAAATATATTCACCGTTGTCTCGGTAAAAATGAAGAGAGTAAACTATATTATAGTTTGTCACGTTGGATGTATTTCACGGAACGATCCTCATAACTTGGAGATATATATAAAAAGGTTATGACTTGAATCTTCAAGAAGCGAAGCTAATTCCTCCTACTTGGACCTTTCCATACAGTGGGTGGTTATAAAGTGGCCTGAGACCGCTAAAAATGTACATATATTTTACATAAGACGCTCTATATAGGACAGCCAATCTCCAGGGTTAAGGATGTCTTCCAGCCAAACCTCTCTATTTACCGCTACGCCCTCTCGGAATAGGCGCTTCCACTCCTTGCCTCTCACAGATAAAAATATCATCCCTCCTTAACAGGAATGGTGTCAGTTCAAGAGGTCTGCATCTTTAGAAATGTATACATTTCCTATCTCGTTTATATTTTTCTAAGGAGGCCCATACTAGGTGAAAAGGGATTATTATTTATACCTTTTTGAATTATTTTTCGGCTATAATTATAATAATAAGGAATATTACCTGCTGAATTGTTGACCCTTTCTAATAATTTTCCAAAAATACTTCTGACCTCGAAAATATCATCGGCACAAGGGACTTTACAAAATGCTATCATCATCTCATTGCTTCGATTTTTCACGTCTGGATTTTCTCGGACAAAGCTACAAAAAAAAAAAATCTAAAATTATATATTTATTTTTATGTATTTATATTTTATGCAATTTCCACCTGCGTGGCTGCGCATCTAGCAAATTTGTTGTGTTTGTATTTTCTTTGTATATTTGCTTGATATAGTTTTTTATTGGTATAGTAGGTCTCTTGGCCATTTTCTTTTTAATATGCTTTGTTCAGGTAAAAGGGAACAGGAGATAGAAAGAACCAGAGGATTGGAGTGATTTTGGGTTGAAGAATGAAATGTAGTGTATTTGTCGTGGATGTAGGATTTTTACTGTTGGGGTTAAGTCGTTATGTATAGTAGTATTTGAAATGTGCCAAGGTGTGTTAACAATATTTCGTAAAATTTTTTATTGTGCTGTTTGTATTTTGTTTATGTGTGTTTGTTTTGCTGAACCCCAAAGTTCTGCTCCATATGTCCATATTGGTCTCAGTAAGATGTTGTAGATCAGTCGCTTGTTTCCTAAGTTAAGTGAAGATTTGTAGTTTAGAAGATGTAAAACTCGGCTATATCGTCTAGTAAGTTCTTGTCTTTTTAATTTCGTATGTATGTTCCAAGTAAGTCTTTTGTCTAAGTAGAGTCCAAGGTACCGTACATAGTTCTTTGAAGGCACTGGATTATTGGCAATCGTTATGGGTGGGCATGAGGCTTTCCTAAGAGAGAAACTAACGTGGGTGGATTTTTGACTGTTAATTTTGATTCTCCAGTTTTCAAACCACTTTTCATGATCATGAAGATGGTTTTGTAGGACAATTGAAGCGATAGTAGGATTTTTGTGTGAAGTTAGAATAGCAGTGTCGTCTGCGAAGCAATAAATGGTGGTATTAGGGTGCTCAGGGATATCAGAAGTGTATATAGAATAGAGGATTGGGCTTAAGACGCTACCTTGTGGTACGCCTTTGTGTTGGGGAAAGAAGGAAGAAACAGAAGAATCTACGGAAGTACAGAAAAATCTATTAAGAAAGTAGGATTGAAGAATTAAAAAATAAGTGGAAGGTAAGTGCGGTTTTAGTTTCTATAATAGGCCCTTGTGCCAGACACTATCAAATGCTTTATCTTTATACATCTTTATCAAATTAAAAGTTATATTTTATTCTTCGAATAGAGAAGCTCCATTTCTTCGGCCCCCTCCCCCCGTTTCATAGCTCAGCCTTCCCTAATTGACCAAATAATTGTTAATTCTATCTCTTTTACGTAGTTCTATCTTTACAGTACTATTCATTTGTGTAAATGAAAAATATCGAGAATAGTTACTGATTACTAAACAGAACCGTAAAAAAAATATTTAAAAATATTAATTTTTTATTTTATTAATAATTACTTAGCTACCACAGTAGTACTTTTCAAGGGAACTCAATGTTCTTATATATGGTGTCTTCAAGGAATATATAAGCCCTTATACTTAAATTTTTTTTATTCTACTTCCAACGACTTTTCGAGCTGACTAACTCATTTTCAAGTCATCTACAAATAATAATTAACAAATATAATTGACAACAATTATCGATCATTATCAATTCAAAAAAAGTGAGAACTTACCAAAAAATGTGTATCTACTAAATAAAAAGTCACTCAAATAAAAAAATCGTTTTACAAAAAACTTACGTAACATTTACAACTTTGAAAGTAATCTTACCCCTAAGTATTATGTCTAATATTATTTCTAAAATATTTTCAATTTTTATTATTATTATTTACACATAAATTTCCAACAATTCATTTATATAACTTTTTTTTTATAATTATATTTTTATGCTTTAAAAATCAGCGGAGCCATCGACGGATGAATACGGTTCATAAAACATTAACAATTGTATCAGATCAATACGATGATTTTTCTTACTACTAAAATTTAATTGATAAAATTTATCCCAAGTTTTATTACTTATTAATTAACTTCATTAGTTATTATACATGGCGTCTTCAAGGAATATATAAGCCTTTACTTAAAAATTTTTTATTCTACTTCTAACGAAGTTTTGAGCTGACTAACTCATTTACAAGTCATCTATAATAATAATTAACAAAGATAATTTACAACAATGATCGCCTATTATTTGTTCATAAAAAGTGAGAACTTACCAAAAAATTTGTATCTACTAAAACGTATTTCTATATTATGTTTTCATTGAACCACCATTTGTAGTACACCAAATACGAAAAATAACCAGATTCCTCATCTCCTTGTTTGCGCATTTATTTTTATTGTCATTCTGCAATAAAAAATTGTTTATGCTATTATTTCAGAACATATACGATTTCTATTATTAATTTCTATTAGGTTTTATTTAAAATGTATGCTCATCTCGTAAAAGGAGACGAGGAGTATAGTTATTTTTGGTATTTAGTGTACTTATGTTCAATGAAATACAAGGTTGTTTTATGAAAACATAATATAGAAATATACTTCAGTAAATAAAATTTTTTTTGTAAGTTCTCACTTTTTATATGACTAGATAATGAGCGATCACTGTTGTAAATAATCTTTGTTAATTATTATTCGTATATGACTTGAAAGTGAGCTAATTAAAGTAAAGGGCTTAGATATTCCTTGAAGAAAACATATATAATAAATAATAAAGTTAATTAAAAAGTAATAAAACTTCGGGTTAATATTTTTTTACGGTTTTATACGAGTCAACCTTTCTGTTTTTATCAATTAAATTTTAGTAGTAAGGAAAATCATTGAAAAAATTGATATGATACAATTATTAATGTTTTATGATCCTTATTCATCCGTTGATTATTAAAGTATAAAAATATATTTATATTGTATAAATAATATTTGTCATAATACTAAGAAGTAATATTAGTTTCATTGACCTTTTATTTTTTTGTTTTCACTCCACTATCCTCTCTCTTTAACAATTAATTTAATATTACTCCTGCTTTCAAATTTAACCAGTTTCATAAAAAATCTATATTCTGTTGATTTGTTTCATAATCATACTTTTGATGGAGGCAAATTTCCAAGATCTTCGATGAATATTTTGTAAATAATTTTTTTAAATCATAAAGAAAAAATCGAATTTTATTAATTCATTCACTTTTGTAATCGTTACATAATATATACGTAACAGTTACATGACTTTTCGCAATAAACATACTTTATGTTTATGATTCTAAATTTATAAATTATATATTAATTTTGTCATATTCACCTATATATGTTATCATTCTTCTCATATCTCATTTTAATTATGTAGTTGCCTGTAACGTAAATTGGAGCTGAAATCGAATTTATAAGACAAAGAAATGTATATAAGATAAAAGTTTGCAATCATTTCAAAAAGTCTGGAAGGTAGGTGGGAACTGGAGGCGTGGCTTGCATCCATCTTGTGACGTACACGATTGCCAAACACGATTAAGCCCTACTTTATTAAGTAAATGAGGTCTAAATGTGCGCTACTTTATTTACTTTAAACGCTACTTTGTAAACCTAATTTTATATAAGCACCTTAAAATATATTTTAAATAAACACATTTAATCACCAGAAAAAATGAAAGATAATCACATGAAAGATATAAGTTAGAAATAATAATTAAAAATAAAAATTATAAGATATTTAACATGAAATTTCTTCACGTTTCTCAACTCTCATGACGTACATCCTTTTCTATCATTGTTAAAGCATAAAAATATAGTTATAACGTATAAATAATATAACTATTATTAATATTACTAATTATTTTTGCAATCATGAATCCGGAAAATTTTGCTTTTTTATTGCTATAACATAATCTTCACCGATAAAAACAAACTGAAAATTATTGCAAGTATCTAATTTATATGCTATCTTGTTAACATCTAAAATGGAACTATTGCGTAAACTAATCTCCTAGGTTTTATCAACACTCAAAAATATATTCATAATCAACAAAAATTATATATAACGTTTAAGAGGTTCGTTCTATATTAGAAATGTTTTACTAGCCTATTTTTTAACAAATAACGGATCCTATCCTTTAAATATTTTATGTATACCTAGGCAGTAGAGGACTCCAACAAGGTAATCCCTCAGCAAATAGTTGGAGGATATCCAAACCCGGGGTGTCTTCAACGATCGACTTGGATACATTCCCCACCTCCCTGAAGGAGACAGTGCAGGCTCCGAACCTATATTTCCTTCCCACCTGGTCGCATCGGGTGCACTTAGTCCAGGGGTTCCAATCTGAAAAAAGTGGTCAGTCTTAAACACGAATTCAATCTGTATCTTACTTTTGAACTAATAATTATTATATTTGACAGGATCGTTAAGTTTACTTTCCAAAATATGGTTTCATTTCTGACCACTTGTGGTTAAAACATACAGAACGCGATACGTCCCTACGTTCAGTGATATCTTCCCTATATCGCTGCTGAAAATCACGCTCTGCTTGGATGATAGTGAATTAGAAAATAACACAACTAAATCGTTAGTTCGCCGCGGGCAGTAATATCATGTCGCTTTCTATCACTAGCGGATCCAGGATTTAATTTTGGAGGGGGGGTGGGCTTCAGCCCGAAAGCCCCCTCTCCCCATAGATCCGCCCGTGAGTTCTGTATACATGAACCTTTGAACTCCTCTCTTAGTCCACAATTTAATGCCCTTACCTGATGGGGAAATGCTACAGGTTGCCTTCCTCATTTCTTTGTTTTTAATTACAAGCATGACTATATGTTACTATTTATATTTTAAAATACATTAGTAATATATGTGATTATAAATATATTTATAATATATACGCTTTTGTTTGTATAGCTAAGTCCTTTCATTATTTTAGACTAAAGCATACCTATCATAACCACTTTTATTTTATTGATAGGTTTTCTTATTCCTCTCTGTTAAGAATTTTTTCAAGTTCTTCGATTTGTTTAGAGTGATTACCCCAGACTTTTTATGTTAAACAGAAGAGAATATTATTCAACCAACTTTTTGTGTATTTTTTTAAAGTATATTCACATTATTGATATACAAGTAAAAACATTTATAGATGGTCTGGGACAGCGGTTTGTTCACACTCACATATTCCTATCCCTTACCACTTACCAAAAATTCAGTAAAATGATGTTCCCATGAGACACAAGGAAGTTGAATAAGGAAGACCTATGTAAACAGTTGTAACATCAATCTCAGTAACATCATATATCAGTAACTAAATACTAGATGTTACTATGTTACTTTTTCAGTTAAAATGTATAATAATATATTTTTGTTATAGCTTACTAAAAAATAAAATAAAATGAAAAGGAAATCAAATAAATAAAAACTATTTTCAATTATTCAAACATTTGATCACGTGACTGAATAAATCACGTACCACTGGTCGTAAGGATTTATGTTTATATTCTAAATATAGCCATTACCTCAACTGGCTTTTAAAATAAGTGACGTGGGTGAGAGAGAAGCACTGGGATATCCTGCGTCTCTGTTTTTCCACGGTTGGGGTGACCACTAGTTAAAATTTCATTTTGTTTACTTTATTTTTTAATTTCATTTTATTATTTGTTTAAGTATTATTATTTAGTTATTCGTTTTTTTTTTTACTATACATGATTTATTTATTTTCTCTATATATATTATGTAAATGAACCCTTTGCTAAATATTACCAATGTCCAATACTGTAACATAGTAAAATATTACTTAGTAAAAAAAAAAAATATATATATATATATATATACTCATATTTTTTAACTTGATTTATAAGGTCTAAATTAATGAAAATTTAAAGCTATTTAAACAGCACTCGAGTAAGGAAAAAAACTTGGAATATTTTCAAGAAAATAATTTCTTATTTCCCCTCCCAACACTAGTTTGGGGAGATGGGTGTTTTTGACAGCTCAATATTGTTTAGTTCCATTATCCTTCTAAATTAAATCTACTCACTTCATCAGGGTGATTTATAGTCTCAGTGTGTTGATGGGGGGGAGGAGGAGGAAGAGGGGGGAGCGTGGAAGGGTTTATATTATATAGAAAAAAAACACAAAGTTCATTGTAAATTTCGCGTTCGTCATAATGTAACAAACCAACGGTCATTTACAATAAAGATTTATGGTTTGTCATCATATGTATACTGAAACATGTTTTTAATTGAGGCCTTATTGTAATCTTCTTAATGTAATAAAACAGCATTCCTCATCATTCTGAAGTTAATTATTAATTATTTCTATATTGAAAAATATTTTTTTAACAACAGAACGCTATTATATTTTCTTTGATGAGTATAAAATGAAACATATACTCTCACCAAAGATCGAGAATCCTCATCACTTGTGAGAATCCTTTCTTAATTAAATAGGTAGTCATATGTATTTTCAATTTTATAAAAATGGTGTCAAAATTTTAAGTTTTGATTTAAAATAAATTCCAATAAGTCCTTTCTAATCATCTTTATCCTTCGTGAGGAAAACCTTCCTTTCCTACAGCATCCTTTAATAACAACCCTCTTACTCCTGTTGAACAAATTTGATACCTAGGAAACAACCTGGACAAACATCTCACTTGGAATCCTCATATAAGACACAAACGATAATAAACTGCTCAATGTTTCCGCTTACTCCAACATTTGCTAGACAAACGCTTTAAGCGTCCAATCAATTATAAAATACTCATATATATGACTACAATAAGGTCTATTTGGACTTACAGGATTGAGCTTTGGGACTCCAATTATTACAATCCAAAAACCTTCGTGAAATCCTTAATGCTCCTTATTTTGCCACAGATAAAATAATCCATAAAGACCTTAATGTTTCCTATCTTTCCGATTTGGCACGATCCAGGTAACTATCTTTCCATAATAAACTTCATAACTATCCGAATTCTCACATTTCTAACCTTGCTTCCTCTTCAATCTCTGGTAACTCTTCGAGACCTTTGAAAAAAAAAAAGTCTGCTAAAAGAAAACTCGTGATCTCCTAAATAAAAACATATATATTTTTAAATATATTAATGTATCAACAAGTGTTAGCGGGGTAGCTCAGTGGTAGGGAACTAAGCTTCCAATGCTCAAGGGACCGAATCCAGGCTCATGGCTGGAAAATTATTTATTTTGTTTCATTGGCAGTGACGCGACCCTGGGCTAGGGAGTCACTCCTGGGGCATACCCAGCCTCTACAATGTGGGTACCCTTAATGAAATAATTGATTAAGATGGAGAACCTGGCGGTTGAGCCTGATCCTGGTCAGATCCACTCTCTACACAACCGTTGGCCTTGAAACGGTGCTTTCCCTAAATATTACTGAACGCAAGACCCTTCATGAGTTGTAGTGTTACAGGTGTTTTGCTTTTTTTTAAGTGCCCGCGTTGTCTCTCTCCCGAGTACCACCGGACCAAGTAAGAAATGTTTTCAATGAACCACTTCAAAACTAGAATATTTTTTAATAATGTAGATTTTTATCATTAACTGCTTAAAGAGCCGCAAGGTACAATTCCGCAGCTACTAATTTCAATATCCGGCGGCCGGAGCGGTGACCCACTTTCCCAGTAGGGGCGTTTCCCGAAGGAGTTTAAGGAGGGAAAAACGAGAGAAAAAAAGGGAAATAAAAGGAAAAGCCACCTTTCTAAAATGGGCATTTTCCCCAGTTGATGGGCGAGGCGAGCTGCAGAGATTCCCAATTTTCCACGAGACTAAAATATGTAAAGCAGCTTACTAGGATGAACCTCCAGAGCTCAGGTTCAAATCCCACTTCACCATGTGCTATTTACTCAACGGGTTAATTTCCGCTAATATAAATAAAGTCGCTATTTATATCGGAAAGTATTTATTGTATGCGAGATTTTGGACATAATAGTATATTTCGATTACCTATGATTCAGTCAATCATAAGGCATCAGATTCAGACGTGGGGTCAGAGTCTTGGTACCTGCACTTACTTATCTACCCTTACCTGGCACTTTGATATAGTTTTGGACCAGCAATCCGCTTAGGGTGTAATAAAGTTAGGGCGTGGCTTATTCGAAGGATCAAAGGAAAGTCCGATCAATTTCAGAATAGGAAAAACTTAAACTGGAAGGCAATTTTCTACTAACGAAAACGTGGAGAAGGTATACTAACGGTACTAAAAATATTTATATATATAAACAAAATGAAACTCAAACTAATCCAGAAAACAATATAAATACAGGCTTACTTTCATACTATATTTACAAAATTCATTTACTCGTCAGGACTCCGGGCCAATCCTTCCATCTCCCAACCCTACTTGTGAGAGGAAAAGCAGGACTCTAGAAGATCTCAGCACATCTCACTCAAACTGGTATTAGCGACCACTATAAAATAATGAAGACACTTAAAATATCAGTAAAATAAAATCAGGTTAGCATCTTCTAGACCATATTTTCATATCTATATATCCATGATGATTAAAATCACTAATTGATTTTTTTTTTTTTACTAAATCTTGATGTTTTGCACTTTCCCCTTGCATACTATTGATATATATATATATATAGCTGAGGTACCCTTGCGGGCTAAGGCGCTTGCAATAGGTAGGTAATCAAAGTTAAGCAACGACGAGCGAGGATGGTTGACCGTCCAAGGAAAGCGACACTGCCCGAGATTCCTCCCTCCTCCGGTTATGTGAGACCCGTCAGTCTACTGGAGGCAACTCGCACCTACCGGACGTAGGATTGATGACCCTACCCCGTAGTTTAAATTGGGAATCAGGATGTGGTCTAGGAGACCACACTCGCAGTCAAAGATCTTCATGATCTGTATCACCAACCGGGAAAAAATAAATAAATAAATATATATATATATATATATATATATATATATATATATATATATATATATATATAAACATGATACCATCAGAGTGGAGATCCGATCCGCCTTAATTATAAGTTCAAATTCCCGTGCCGGGGGATTTTAACTCTGGCCATTCTATAACAATACTAAATTAATAGACAGTTAATGACTGCAAACAAATGCTATTGCGGTTCCCGAAAAGATTTCAGAAGTAGATGTCTCTCGAGGAAGACCGAAGTGCAACTTTATAAGACCCTTACAAGGCCTGTTCTGAACTATATTTTAAGGCCTTGACTCACCACTGAGTTATAGATATAAATGATAAACACCAAGCACTGTAAACTATTAACAATACTTAAATAAATATCCATTGCATGAATATGGTGTATCTTTTTGAAAGCAATTACCTACTTTCATCAACAAAAGTAATTTATTTCG